ATGTCACTAACTCATATTTCATATGTGGTTTATTGTCTGTTACATAAGCAAGAGCGAGATAAGAAACAGATCAGGGAAGGAGGAGGACATTAAGCAGCTGGGTTGAGTTTTGGTAAACAGAAGCTGCTTCCTTGTTACAATTTATGTAGCTCCTCATTAGATTACCCTTCCCTCATTACTGCTCTTTGCTTTAAAGGAAATGGCTGCACGTATCAATACGCCTCTCCTCACAGGCACACAGATAAAGACAGAAAGTTGTCACACAGTAAAGCTGAGCTCCCCTTTCACAGACTTGCACTGGGCCCTATTTCAGGAAGCCGGTTTAGAAAACTCAGAGTGAAAAACGATACTCAGGGTTGAGTAACCCCGAACTGTCCAACTCGGAATATTCGGTTTCAGAAAGGCTGATAACAATTAGTTCAGTCAACGCGGAGTTGCTTTAACCCCAAATTAAGCGCGCGCACGAGGATACATAAAGCCCTGATTAGTGGAGCACAGATTAAGCGAGTCACCATGGAGACGGAGGGAAAGAAGGCGCGGTCAATGTATGTCACAGCGCTTGAGGCCGAAATTCAGATGGCAGCATATGCCGATAACATGCAAATTTTGCGGAATAAAAGTAACACAGCCACAGCTGCAAAAGAAAGAGAGCATGCATGGCAAAACATAGCCGACAGAGTCAATGCATGAGTGTTAATTTAAACATTGATCGAGGGATTTCCACCCATATAACACGTTATTTTATTATATTTTATTTTATTTTGTATTTCATACATTTTATTTTGTGATGTGATGTGAGCGCAGGTGCAACCCAACAGGCCCCAAACGTTCCTGGCAGCAAGTAAAAATGAAATATAAAAATATAGTCCAAACAGGTGAGGTGTAATTGTATTATGAGCCATAGTGCTTGGTCTGTTTGTCCGATGTACATCAATTGCAGTTAGAGGCTACATTAATTTCCCCTCTGTAAGCACTTATTGAAATTATCTGAGCACATTACAAGTACATATTTGCTCTGTATGCTCAAATATGACCCGTTATAGCCAACAGAAAAAAAGCGGAGGCCCGAAAAACAGGTGGGGGTCCTCCACCACCACCACTCACAGAGCCTGGCCACTTGGCTTCCACATCTGTGATAATGTTGGCAGCATCACATATGATCTTCACAGTGCAGAGAACACAAATTAGCATCCATTACTATAATGAAATAATTTGTTAGTTTGAAATGCTACAGGGAACTATGTACCTGCACATTAATGCTGTGGAAAGACTTCCTGTTCACATAGTCTCCTTCATTTACTGAAGGAGCAATGATTGGAATGTGAGTGCCATCTGTACAGCCAATCACGCCTGGGAACCGTGAAAATAAATGTAATATTTAAGTAGTAGTTCAAGTATCACCACATCATGAATTAAGTTTCGTTCATCCTGCTACCTGCAATTTTGTGGCATCCCTCTTTGATAAATCTTGTGGGTCTATGACCGGGGAACACCACAAACGAGTACAGGAGACGTTTCAGTGCAACTGTAACATTCCTGACTGCCCGACAGACGGTAGCCTTGGAAACGTGCTCAGCGTCACCAATATTATACAGAAAGCTCCCGTTTGCAAAAAACCGAAGTGCAATACAAATAATATGTACAGAACTGAGAGGATGTCCGCGATGTGTCACATGAGCAATATTAGGCCTGAGGATGTTATTCAAATGAATTATAGATTGTGCTGAAAAACGGTAACGTTCACACAGGAAATCATCAGGAAATGATAAAATGTCCGAACGCGCTCTAATCACTCTCTCCCGGCGGAGAGCTCTGCGGAGAATTTGGGCTTCAACATCTACTGGCTCTTCAAGGACGGGGCACGCCATGTCTGACACTTCCTACAGTCAGGTTTCTGACAAAGAGGCGGAGAACGTCAGGGTTAGTAGAAGTAAACCTGCTAGGGGGCAGGTTAGCTTCACGGAGTGTGTCGTCATAGTAACTCACTCAGAATTAATCTAAACTCGCTTTGTGAAACCGAAAACCCAGAGTTTTCGTTAACTCAGGGTGTACTTACTCAGAGTTTGCACTAAACCGGCTTCCTGAAATAGGGCCCAGCTGATGGATCGCCGGGATTTGTGTAATGTGTGCATTGATAGGCTGTTGTCTTAAGCAACCACCGGGGGAGGGGACGTAATGCTGTCAGTCTTAATCAGCAAGCCAGACATCCTGGTGACAGAAAGTGTGCTACAGCAGAGGCAGTCTCTCAATTTGTTTTCCAACTCAGAAAGGGTCATGCAAACGGGAATCAAACGCTGAAGATGATGACTGAACAAAGAGAAGGACAAAGATAAAATGAAGATGAGATTAATTAACAATGGGAAACAGATGAGGAAGAAGACACAGGTGAATATAATCAAGACAACCAAGCTCACAGGAAGTATTAACATGACACCAAAGAAAGCAGAGTTTCAAAGTAAAACAGGAAACATCCCAATAGACGTACTAAGCACAGAGAAGATTCTCACTAAACATGATAAAGAAGGAAAAACTAAAATATGAAATAGAATCAGAACAAAAAACATCCATTTTGTACCACTTATCAGGATCCAGACTGCAGGGGCAGCTGTCTACGCAGAGATGCCAAGACCTCCCTCTCCCCTCCCGCATCCTCAAGCTCTTCTAGTGAGACACAAATGGTCCAGTTGAGAGACTATGGCTACGTTCACACTGCAGGTGAAAGCGCATCAAATCCGATTTTTTTGACCCTTTGCGACCCATCTATCCGATCATGGTCTGACAGTGTGAGCGGCACAAATCCGATATTTTCACATCCGATCTGGGTCACTTTCGTATGTGGTCCTGAATCCGATACATATCCGATGTTTTAGAAAGCGACTGCTGTGTGAACGGTCATGTCGCATTAAATCCATCTTTTACGTCACCGACACAAGACAGATGCCAATTATCAGCTCCCGAGAAGACATCACGAACACTTCCTGGCCCTCCAGTGTAGATGTCAGTGAAACTGTTAGTAAGACAACGTGAACATTTTCTTTGTTCTGTATAATCTGCAGATTCTGACAGAAATCTGCAGCTATCCTTTGAAGCACCGCTCCTCTAAAACAGCAATAAGGATCATTATTAGGTTATCTACATTATTATGTAAATTTTATTTGTAGTGTGAACGAGCAGACAAAAAAATCGGATTTGATCAAAAAATCGGAATTGAGCATCAAGACCTGCAGTGTGAACGTAGCCATAATCTCTCCAGATTATAATCTCCAGCCCAGGTTCTCGTCCCAGCTGAGCATGCTCGGTGTACCTCAGCTAGGAGACCCAGACTTTTTTGAATGTGGATGAGGAGCAGCTCTTTTTGAATTTTCAAAAAAAGAAAACTCTGCTGAACTCATCTGCTCCCAATTAGAAGAAAAACACAATGTTCAACTGGTCATTGAAATTCCAGATTACTGAGTGTAAATGCATCGTGCCTAGCAAGTAACTATAGGATATCCTTTGGTAACAGTTTCACTGTTGATTAACATAGTCTATAACTTTGCATTAAATTCTTTGACTAGAAACTGCAATTATGAAATACATGAAAAACATACTGGAGTAAATGTTTTTCACAACTGAAACAAACTGATGGAACTGACTGAGAATTAGATGTTGTATATCAAGTGAGAGGTATTTTCTAATAGTTCACGGACAGCATAATTATATCTCTCACCTCTGAAGATTACAAAGCCATTACACTGGCCAGATGCCTGAGGGACGGTGTTAATGTGCTCTATGAAAATACAATCGGGATCAGGATGTTTAATTAGTAATGACCCGTGTGAGAGAAAGCACATTTACAGCCATAGATCATAAAGCAGAACCAATCACTGTTTCAGAGCCGCTGTTAC